GCCCCCGCCGTCGCGCCCGCAGCCCGGGGGGCGAGGCCGCCGCCCGCGGGCATGCGGCGCTGCCGCCGCGCCCGTCGAGACACGGTGTGCAGCCGCGGGCGGCCGGGCTGCGCTTAGGGGCGGCCGGGGCGGGAGCCCCATGTCCGGGGCTCGCCGCGCTCCGCGGGCAGGCGGCGGGGCGATGAGCTGCCGGGGCGAGCGGGCGCGCCTGGCCCCCGGTTTGCCCGGCTCCCTCGCCCGTGGGGAGTGAGGCTCCGCGGAGCCCGCTCGGAGCTCCCGGAAGGGCGGGCAGGCGGGCGGGGAGGTGGTGCCGGCGCGGCGATGCTGCAGCCCTTCCCCGGCGCCGACGGGGTCCTGCCAGGGTAGCGGCCCCGCCGTGCCGCGCCGAGCCCCGCCGTCTGCGGGGGCGGCGGCCGCGGAGGGATGGAGCCGGCCGGCCCCTGCCGGGCGCAGTTGGGCTCCGCCAACGACTCTTACCGAAACTGTAGCGCCGAGGAAGTGGTTTACCAAGATGCCACCCCTCTCTCCGGGAAGATCGTGCTCGCCGTCGTCCTGGCGCTGGTCACCCTGGCCACGGTGCTTTCCAACGCCTTTGTCATCGCCACGGTCTACCAGACGAGGAAACTCCACACGCCGGCCAACTACCTGATCGCCTCGTTGGCCGTCACCGACCTCCTCGTCTCCATCCTTGTCATGCCCATCAGCACCATGTACACTGTGACCGGCAGGTGGACGCTGGGTCAGATCGTCTGCGATATCTGGCTGTCCTCGGACATCACCTGTTGCACGGCGTCCATCCTGCACCTCTGTGTCATCGCCCTGGACCGCTACTGGGCGATCACCGACGCCGTCGAGTACTCCACGAAACGGACTCCCAAGCGGGCAGCGGGCATGATCGCACTGGTATGGATCTTCTCCATCTGCATCTCCATGCCCCCTTTGTTTTGGCGGCAGGCGAAGGCTGAGGAAGTATCTAACTGTGTGGTGAACACGGACCACGTCCTGTACACCGTGTACTCCACAGTAGGAGCCTTCTACTTCCCCACTCTGCTGCTCATAGCCCTGTACGGGAGGATCTACGTGGAAGCCAGGTCGCGGATTTTGAAGCAGACGCCAAAGAAAGCAGGTAAAAGACTAACGCGGGCACAGTTAATTACAGACTCCCCGGGGTCGACCTCTTCAGTCACGTCCATAAACTCCAAGGCTCCCGAGGGATCCAGCGAAACGGGCTCCCCCGTGTACATGAACCAGGTGAAGGTGAAGGTCTCGGACGCCCTGCTGGAGAAAAAGAAGCTGACGGCCGCTAGAGAGCGGAAAGCTACAAAGACTTTAGGGATTATTTTAGGAGCCTTCATCGTGTGTTGGCTGCCCTTTTTCATCATCAGCTTGGTGATGCCTATTTGCAAGGACGCTTGCTGGTTCCACATGGCCATCTTTGACTTTTTCACGTGGCTTGGATATCTCAACTCCCTCATCAACCCCGTCATCTATACTATGTCTAACGAAGACTTCAAACAAGCTTTCCACAAACTCATACGTTTCCGATGCACAGGCTGAAATGTTGAATGCGATGTGCTCCCCGGGGCAGCCCCCATGCACGCCCGCGCCCGGCGCCACAGGTAGGTGCGCGCACCCCGCCCTGCCCGGAGAGCCGGGGCGCCTCGGGCCGGGAGGAGGCGGGGGGTGGACATGGGGCTGAACACCCCACAAAGAGCTGGTGTTCAGACCCTTCGCAAGTGGCGGCGAGCGCTGGGGATGCTGCGCGCTCCTGACATTTCACAAGCTGTGTGTGTCCCGTCCCCCCCCCACCCCACCCCAGATCGCAGGGAGTGACTCAACGGCAATCTGCTTTTTATTCCACCTATTAAACCAATCTGCCGCCATTTCGTATGCTAATACCGGTGTTTCGGCCAATTAGTGCTGAACGGCGCTCGCTGTCCGAGCCCGCAGCCGAGCTCCCCGGAGAGCGCCGGGCCGGTCCCCGCCCGCGGCGCGTCCCCGGTGCCGCCTCCCGGCCCCGCCGGCAGCCGCAGGCACCGCTGGGCGTGCAGCCCCTTTGGATGGGAGCCGATGAGGCCCCGGAACCAGCGGCATGATGGTTTTTGTTAGTGGGGGTTTTTTTGCTTTTGGGTTTGGTTTGTTTTGGATTTTTTTGGCGAGGAAGGGAGGTAGGATAGGCCCCAGATGAAGGCTGCTGACAAAGTCCAGCCCTACTTCTTTCTGCCTCCTCACGGCTCCGGCTGCTCCTGCGGGAGCGGAGCCGGCTGCGAGCAGGCGTCCCGAGGGGAAAGCTGTCCCTTAGCCTCCGTGGGAGACTGGACACCTCGGTGTGTCTTTTCACACGCGGAAGGGCTTTACCTTTCCGCGCCCCTTGACAGCAGTGGCTGCCAGCTCCTCATTAAACTCAGCGCCACGTTCTGCAGAATGCATACATGCCTTTATTGTGATACTGTAATAATTCTGCCAATCTTTTGCTTTTTGTCTGCAGAATCAAGTTGCTATTGTAAAGACCCACTGCTTGAAACTTCCCCAAGCCCAGTTGCCAGACTCATGATGCTGCAAAAACGTCAATACATTCTGCCACCAAACTGCTCAGCTCTGCGTTTCAGTGTAATGACTCTGGCAGAGATGCTGTTCCAATAGGCACGCAGATCAGTTGCAAAAAAAAAAAAAAAAATGAGGGCAGCCTCGAATCAAGGTCTATAATTCATCTGGAATGAAGAAAAAAAAGTTTGAGAGTAAACTCCATTTATTTTGCAGACTTAACGTCTTAATTTGTTCTCCAGCTGGTTGTAGGGGTGTGCACAAGAGCACAGTTGTCTCTGTCTGTGTTGGTAGCATAGTTGTACTTCTGCACACCTGTAATTTCTTTCTTTCAGTGGAAAGAGTTGCTCTCTTCACCCATGAGGCCAAGAGGAGACAAACTCACGTTTAAAGTAGGAGCATCACAGTAAATTCTGTAAATGACTCCTTCAGCTGAACATGTGTGAGAAGTGACAGTGTGCAAAAGTTTTATTTGTATTTCAAAACAATAGTAAATGCAAATGCTCTAGAAACAAGAGTTGTAGACCTGTTCAACTGCACTGCATATCTGTAGTCTGTCCTCATAGTTGCCTTTAAACAGGAAATACTTCTTGATTTTACTCCATAAGAGCAGAAATCAAGAAGTCTGATGACCTTTTCCATAAACCAGCTGGGAATAGGAGTAGCAGTTTGATGCTGTAACCATGTTTTCCATTTTGTGTCGGTTGCACACCCTTACCGCATGAACAACTGCGAAATTTAGAATTCTCTAAGTACTTAACATTATTTAGTGTATTTTGTAAAGAAGTGAAGCAGTTTGCTCTTTCAGAAGAGCTATTTCACCTGCAAAATAAATACTCATGAATCATGAATTAACTGATGTTAGTGAAATTTCTTGCTTCCCTACTCCCCCCCCCATGTTTTTTTGTTTTCCTTCTTTTCTTTTGTTTTCTTTTTCTTTTGTTATTTTTTTCTCCTGATTGGACCTTAAGACAGGTCTATGCGTATTCAGCAGAGTTTCAGGACATGGTCCACCTGCTGTGATAGAACTGCATTGATTGTTCCTCTTATGTGTAAATGAAAATGAGTATAAACAATAAAACGCTTGACTGTGTTCTCAAGAGTGGTAGCAACTGTGTGACTGAAAGGAGTTTTTATTGGTTTACCCTCTTTCTCAGTATTGACTTTTTAGGTAACACTGATTTGATGAGTCACTCAAGAAAGCAGTTGATGAAGGTTGAAATTACAAGCTTCAATTGGTTGTCAGTTTTTTAACAGGCAGCTTTACTTTCATTGTAGCTAGTTCTGTTAGGTATAATTATTACTATTTTCATATAATGTCAGAAAAAATGTTTAGGTTTTTTCCACAAATATTTTTCTTACTCCTTTAAAAGCAAACAAAACTTACTTTAGCATCTGGTGGATAGTGTAGTCACTGTTCTTTTAAAGCTGTGTGTATGTATTCTAGATGGGGGTTGTTAAAAAACTGGAAAAATCTTACATGATTTATCTGCCTGCTATTCTTCAGAGAGTTATTTAAGTAATAAGGACTTACTTAACTGGATAGTCCAGCAAGTGCGTGACCCTTTGTGCTTCTACCGATCATAGGCAGGAGGAACTCTCTAAGATACAAATTGAAGCAGTGGAAAATAAACATTTTCAGTAATTTGAAGAAATCCAAAAGAATTGCCTTGAAATTTATACCTGTAAAAAGAGAACTACTATACTATGGTTCTAGAAAGTACCCTCTTAATTTATTAAAGACAAACGGGATAAGAGGAATTTTCTAAAATGTCATCTTATTTGTTTGAAATGCCTATAATAATTTTAAATTTAAGGATTTTTTTGCATATATGGTGTGAAAAGAAACAAGGAAGATGGCATAAAACAATGCTTCACCAATTCTCATTTGTCTTTTTTTGATCTTGTAGAAGGAATTTTGTTTACCCCAAATTCTTTCTCACTGGGCTTCTTACATGTGTGAAAAATGGAAAATGAGATTTCAAGTGAGTATTCCAGCATTTCCAGAGAGTTGAGTTTTCTGTCAGTTTTACAGAGTTAGGGGGCTTTGAGAGCATGGTGGTTCAGGAATTGGACTTCAGGTTCCTCGCACTGTTGGAGTACACCTTCATCTTCAGCAATGGGCAGCAAATACTCCCAGCTCCCTCTTGTGATGTGAGGATTTTGCTGAGAAGCTAATTCATCAGGAAAATACCATTCTGAGTTTATTCTGAGGCTCTGAACTTTCTGTACAAGGAAACAGACAGCCATGCTTGCTCTTGGGAGGACAGTCAGTGTGGAATCTGCCCTGAGTGGCTTGGGGACAGAGGAGAAGAGGCTGACTCGAGCCCTGAAGAGGTACCTGGTAGTTAAAGGCCCTGTGCCACTGGAGCAGCAGTATCTACTTCAGAAAACCATTCACACGGGGACAGGGAGAGTGAAGACACACGTTTGTTACATGTGGAAGAGAAGAAATGTAGGGCAAATGTTGCTCAGTGACAGAAAATATAAATATGTAAAGCCTGTTCCAAGATTCACGTAGAGTGTTTTAGGGTGGGAAGAGTCTCTTGTGTGAGCTTAGCATCTCTGTGACTGGCAGAGTGTGTCCTGGTTAAACCTAGATTTTAAAAGATGTTGAGGGATGTGGTGGTAAAGTTTTGACTCTCTCTGAAGAGGTCTGAGAATTTTGCCGTCCTTCTCTGCTCCCTTGCTGTGCCTGGTCACCGCACTCTGCCTCTGGGAGGATGGAGCATCTGAAATTTTTACTAGGAGAGGTTGTCCTTTCTGTCCACCCTATATCTGTATTCCTGTGGAAATGGCTTGTTGAAACCTGCCTCTGGGTATTTTCTCATGGGAGCCTCTTCATGACTGCAGGTAAACTCTAAAGGTGCCTAAACCCATGCTGTTCCAGTCTTTCATTACAGAAGCAGCATGCCTTTCTTTTATCTATTTCTTGCCTTGGGTTCAGACACTCAAATGATACTTTTGATACAAATCTCTGCTGGGCGCTGAGGTTTGAAGTTGAACACACACTTGCAAGCCTCGTGTTTGCCACATTTCACGGTAAGGGATGTGTGTGTGACTGTTGCTGACTCCAGGTGCTGTGAGACACATAGCAGTCAGCAGTAGTTGCCATTGTGGGAGCAGCTGTTTGCAGCCTCATAGCTGCACTATTTTCCTAGTAATCCTCAGTTTTATTTAAGAGGCATTTCTCACTTTTCCAGTTAATAAAACACAGAATGTAGAAATCAAGAGGGGAAATCCCTTGCAATTAACCTTAATATGGCCATGCAGCAGCCAACAAAGTTCTGCCTTTTCTGAGTGAACAGGATGAAGAGATTACCTTTGATTAATGTGCCAAGTCTCCATGTGATAAAAGGGCTCTCCACTAAATGTCTAGGTATTTACACCATATTCCTTGCTAAAGCATTTGAGGAAGCTGCCCTAGCCTTCAACCTCCAGCTGGGCCATGTAGTGTAGGGACAACTCCATTTGGAGAAGCTGATTTCCACTCTCCGTTGCGCCTGCCTGCAAAAAGCCACTCTGCAATCCATCAGGAGAGCACTCCAAGTGCTTTCTGACTTGAAAATGCTGCCCCTGTGTTCTCTTGGTCAGAAAGGACTAGATATTGTCAGAATTAAGCACTTTCACGTGAAAATCCAGATCAGTCTAAAGCTATTCTTTCTGGAAGCAAAGTGAAAATGACAAGTAGTAGTAACATTGGAGAAGCATTTGTGGTTTGTAGCAGCAAATCAGGTTGAGCAATGTGGCCGAGAGCAATTCTGCAAACAAATAGTAAAATTCCTTTTAAATTGAAATGTAGCAGAGATTGAAGAACACCAAAGAGAGGCTAGAGCAAAGAAAGACTTCAAGGAAGTCATCAAAAATCTCCAAGCCTTGACCAGTGTGTAAGGAAAAAACTAAGGTTACTGCTCCAATATCTCATGACCACAGCACACAGGTG